CAAAAGTAAGAAGGCAGGGGGGATATAAAGCATGTTTAATTAAAAAAAAAATTATATATATATATATATATATATATATATACTTTAATCTACCCCCTCACCCATACACAACACAACCTCCCAACACACACACACTTCACCCTCCCACTCACTCTGCACCCCTCACACACACACACAAACACTGCATCCTTCATACCCCACACACACTGCACCCCCACACATGCACTGCAGCCTCACACATGCAAAGCACCCCTCACACACACACTAAAACCCATACACAACTCTGGTCCTCTGCATACACATACACCAAAACCCCTATATAAACTCTGAATACTCCTCACACTAGATTTCTTATATTCCCTTTGGCTCCTGCAGGAACATACTAGATCACCTACACACAATAGATCCCCTATAGGCACACACTCCACCACCTATACAAACACTACATTCGTGACATACACACTCTGGATCCCCGATGCACACATTAGATCCCCAGTAAGCAAACACAGTAAATTCTAAAAATACAACACAACTGAAACTGACCTATTTACACGATACCACACCACAATTTGCTTGTTTAAATACTTAACTTATTTTTAAGCTTCTACATTTATCCAAGTGATGCCAAGCCTCCTAACCACATAATTTTAAGGCTCTATTCTAGGTGAGCTTAACACTGAAGTAATTGTTAAGTAAATAAGCCCCATACATGCTACACTTTTGTTTTATACCTTTTCTCTCGTTAGGTGTGATGCTACCTAAAGAACATATAGGTGTAGTCTACTGAGCCAGTATTATTAGGCTCTTGTCCATGTGAGTGGTTCCCTCAACAATCCAAAACAATATTTGTTTATTATGTCATTTTGTGGCCACTGTGTTCAATTTATGTATCTACATAGCTTCTTTTTGGAGTAGAAGCTTAGAATGATCTCCCCCACGAGTAAGTGGGGTTATTTGTTCAATCCCTGTGAATCTGAGAGTTGGCAGTCTATGTTGTGCCTGCAGAAAATGTTTTGCCCCTGAATGCAATATTGGTTGCTTCATGGTGCCCAAATGTGGGACTCTGTAATGTCAAGTCGGTCTTCCACACGTAAGAAAGACCTAATGGCATGTGATCAAGTTACGTGGTCTGAGTTACAGGTAATAAAAGGTTGGATGGGTATTCAAATACCACTTAGGGGATGAGAGAAAAAGTTGCCACTTATCATATGATCACATGTAACACATCCAGTTCATTTGTAGCAGCCTTACTTTTGTATACGTTTAAAAAAAAAAAAAAATCAGACCAAACTAAAATGTCTTTTACCGTTTTATAATGCTTGTAGCAAAATTAGTTCTTATAGAAATGAGTAATCTCTGCCTAGGATTCCCCATAATTTTTAGTTGTAGGAATGTATCTTAAAACTACCTGTGAGGAACAACAAGCACAATAAAAATGTAAAAGACATTTTAGGGGCCAAAGTGCAGGGAGTTCAATTGTGAAGTCCATTCCTTTATCATCTTGATCCAAAAGAAGGCAACCCCCCTAAACTGTAGCCATTTCCAATTATGTTACAAAAAGGGCGGGATCCTTCTTGACTCCCTAATGGCAATCCGATTTCTCCTCGGATCAACAACCCGTTTACATACATATTAAATATATCCATAAATAGTATTAATGCAAAAAAAATCCAAGCCTTTTTAAAATGTATTTATAAAATCTGATAACACAACCTCTTAAAGCAGAGAATTCAAAATTTTTATTGCTCTTCTGATGTAAGTGAAAACGCCTTTGTGAAGGACTAGCCCCATAACTTGTTTAGAACTTGGAACGTAAAGAATCCAGTACGTAATCCTCAGAGGAAATAATTAATAGAATGCTTCCCTGAGTGGGTGCCATTTCGTACAACCGAACACACGTGGTCGAGACAATAGATGGCAATCCTCTTGTCTCCCAAATGCAGGCAGAGGGACTTGGTTGTCGAGTGCCTGGAACTGATTTCGGCCAGGCATTCCCGCGAACGCCGGTGAAGAAGGACCCGCTGCCCGATCAAGTTCCCATATACACCCAAATCATTTGAACCGGCCCTGCTGTCTGCCTTTTTCGGGCCGGTGGGGAGATCAAATATCTCCCTCACCGGTCTCCGGGCAGTTTGTTAAGCGAGAGGGAGGGAGCTAGGACCTGGGATCCTGCTGGACAGGAGGAGGACCCAGGAGGCTGTGATCCTCCCGCGAACAGGCAAGTCTGAGAGTTGCTGCACATTACCATGGCAACGCTCCAACGGTGCTTTGCTCGCGGGAAGAAAATAGTGGTCAGCCTGCAGCCGGAGGAACTGCAGGCTAAAGTGCACGAGAAACCACTGGACCACCAGGGATTGGTCCCCTCCACTGGGCCACCAGGGATTGGTCCCCTACACTGGGCCACCAGGGATTGGTCCCCTACACTGGGCCACCAGGGATTTGTTTCCTCCACTGGGCCACCAGGGATTTGTACCCAGAGGTAAGAATGGAGGGAGGGGGGGGGCAAGTTTTCTTTTCCTCTTTTTAAGTAAAAAAATATATAGATTTTCTCCCTGATACCCCTCACATATACACACACAGAACCCTTCACACAAACACACAGAACCCCTCACACAAACACACTGCACCCCCCACACACACAAACACACTGCACCCCACACACACACACACACAGATACTCTCACACAAACACACTGCACCCCTAACACACACAGAGCCTCTCACACAAACACACTGCACCCACTTACGCACCCACACTGTACTCCCCACACATACACAGCACCCCCACACACACACACACAGCACCCGTCACACACACAGCACCCGTCACACAAACACACAGAACCCCTCGCATAAACATTGCTTCCCCTCACACAAACACACTGCCCCCCTCACACACAGAGCTCCTCACACAAACACACTGCACCCCCCCACACACACACACACTGCACCCCACACACACACAGATACTCTCACACAAACACACTGCACCCCTAACACACACAGAGCCTCTCACACAAACACACTGCACTCACTCACGCACACACACTGTACCCCCCACACACACACAGCACCACCTCACACACACACACAGCACCCGTCACACACACAGCACCCATCACACACACAGCACCCGTCACACACACAGCACCCGTCACACACACAGCACCCGTCACACACTGCACCCTAGCACAAACACACTGCACCCCTCACATACACACACAAACACACAGAACCCCTCATACACACAGAACCTCTCACACAAACATACTACACCCCATCACACACAGCACCCCTCACACAAACACACTGCACCCCTCATACAAACACACTGCACACCCTCACACACAGAACCCCTCACACAAACACACTGCACCCCCACACACAAACACACTGCACCCCACACACCCACTCTGCACCCCCACCACACACACACACACACTGAACCCCTTTAAAAAACCCACACACTGCAATTACCAACATCATCAATACCCGCTAACATCACACCAAAGAAAAGCAGTTCCAGCCATCACATTAGGAGTGAGTTAATTAAATGTTGTACCAAATACAGCAGGCTAATTTGATAAGTTGATAATTTTTTATGGCCAGCAAATGATGTTTTAAATATCCAAATGGCCCTTGGCCCATAAAATGTTCTTCACCCCTAATCTACATGAACGACGTTCGAGAGTTATAAAGTACCGAACAATTGGAGCATTAAAAAATTAAAAGATTTCATATAACTTAAGTGGTTTTGTACAAAATCCTGCGAACGGAGACTGGCCACTGCCACAATTTTCATGGAACTATTTTGGGCTTTGACCTCGTGGCCGGCCGGTCAAAACTTTCCCGTGATGGTGATTAAATACTACCAAAACGATCTGAGTGATTTCAAGATATGATGGTCACTCTTGTATGGTTTCCATGTATTTTGGGGTGTTCCAAAATAGTTATACCTTTCTGTACCCAGAGATAATTGAGTTTGTACACTTCCTGACTCAATTATCTCTCAGGCACACAAACACAAACACACTGCACCCCACACACACACTGCACCCCTCACACACACAGAGCCTCTCACACAAACACACTGCACCCACTCATGCACATACACTGCACCCCCCCACACACACAGCACCCCCTCACACACTGCACCCTTAGCACAAACACACTGCACACCCTCATACACACAGAACCTCTCACACAAACACACTACACCCCATCACACACTGCACCCCTCCACACACTGCACACTCTCACACAAACACACTGCACCCCCTCACACACAAACACACTGCACCCCTCACACACACACAGATACTATCACACACACACTGCACCACCACACACACAGAACCACTCACACAAACACACTGCACCCCTCACACACACAGAGCCTCTCACACAAACACACTGCACCCACTCACGCACGCACTGCACCCCCCACACACACAGAACCCCCAGCACAAACACACTGCACCCCTTCACACACACACACTGCACCCCCTCACACACACACACACTGCACCCCCTCAAACATGTACCCCTCACACAAACACACAGCACCCCTCATACACACAGAACCTCCCATCACACACTGCACCCCTTCACACACAGCACCCCTCACACAAACACACAGCACACCCTCACACAATCATTGCTTCACCTCACACAAATACACTGCACCCCCCACACACAAACACATTGCACCCCTCACACACACACAAATACTCACAAACACACTGCACCTCCTCACACACACAGAACCCCTCACATGAACACACTGCACCCCTCACACACACAGAGCCTCTCACACAAACACACTGCACCAAATCACGCACACACACAGCACCCCTCACACACACACACACAGTGCCCCAGCACAAACACACTGCACCCCCTCACACACACTGCACCCCCTCAAACACACTGCACCCCTCACACAAACACACAGCACCCCTCATACACACAGAACCTCTCACACAAACACAATGCACCCCATCACACACTGCACCCCTTCACACACAGCACCCCTCACACAAACACACTGCACATCCTCACACACACACACTGCACACTGCACACCACACACATACACAGAACCCCTTACACACACTGCACACCACACACACACACACAGAACCCCTCACACAAACAGACTGCACCCCTCAGACACACACACACTGCGCCCAGGGGCGTACCTAGAGCATTTTGCACCAGGGAAGGGTTCTACTTTTGGCACTCCCCTCACCCCACTTTAAAATGTAAAAAGCAACCACAATTTAATTTTAATGTATTTAGCACCGAGCAGTGTTTGTGTGTTTAAATGTTAGCATTTTTTGGATGGAGTATGTTTGAGTGAATGTAGGGGTGTGTTAGTATGTGGTGTTGGCTTTTAAATGCAAGCATGCATTTGTGTGTATTTTTTTTTTTTTGAAGCAGTGGTGTGGTTATATATAATGGTGGGGTTTGTATATAGTGTTGATGTTGAAATGCAGGGGTGTATTTGTGTGTAGTGTTGGTGAAGTTCTGAGATGTATGCACATATAAACACTGACACACATGCAGATACATAGACACACATGCAGACACAGAGGCGACCCTAGGAACAATATATGGGGGGACGACTTAGGTTACCACAGTCATAACTGAGGGGGGGCACTAAAACATTTCACTAGGGTATGGGGTAATATGCTGCCTTTGGCTGTATGATGCCATAATGCCTGCATGGCATCCGGGAACAAGTTTTAATAGAATTCACATTAGCCACCCAGATTTCTTGTTGTGGGCTGGCTGACACCTCTTAACTTCAATATTTTGTTTATCAGATAACTCCCCTATTTGCTATCCTTATGTGGGATTGGCATATTTAAGGACACCAAATAAGGGAGCTATCTGCTAAACAACACCCTAATTTAGTATCTTTAAATAGGGAAATCTCATATAAGGGCACCAATTTATGGAATTATCTACTAAACAGCTAACATTTCAAAACTAATAAAAGCCCTTTTCTTAATTTTAATCTTTCAATTGTTTAGTAGATAACTCACTTATTTGTTATCCATATGTGAGATTGCAATATTTAAGGACACCAAATAAGGGAGCTATCTACTAAACACATACACATTTATATACACACAATAACACAATAGATGTATGTCTGTGTGTGTACATCTGTGGTTGTGTGTGTGTGTGTATATACACATACACAATCAGAGACATACACCCACATAACCACAGACACACACACACACAATCACATACATAAACACACATATTCACAACACACACACTTAACCCAGGACCGTCTTTAATATTGATTGGACCCTGGGCAAGCATCTGTTTGGGCCCCCTGGGCATGCAATCACTCCCTCCACCCCAACCTAGAGGCGAAACTAATGTAGAGAGTGCCTTGGTGCAACAAAAAAATAAAATTCAGGCCTGCCCTGTAGCACAAGAGTAAAGAAAAGATAGATCCCCATCTGTCATACAACTCCTGCGATGCTATGCCAGGTGGGGATCTACCATCCTTGCAGGGTTGTATTTTTGAGCAGTGTTTGTGCAAATGAATGTCAGCATGTTATTGTATAGAGTGTATGTGTGCATGTAGGAGTGTATTTGTATGTACTGTTACCATTGGAATGCAGTGGTGTACTTGTGTGTAGTGTTTGCATTTTAATGCAGGATGTGTGATTGTTTGTAGTGTTGGCTTTTAAATGCAGGTGTACTTTTGTGTGTAGAGTTGGTGTTTGTATATAATTTTAGCGTTTTAATACAGGAATGTGTTTGCATGTAATGTTTGTATTTGCATGCAGGGGGGTGTTTGGATGTAGTGTTGTCTTTTAAATACATGTGTACATTTGTGTGTAGTATTAGTGTTTCAGCAAACTGGTGTGTTTGTAATGTTTGTGTTTGCAGGGGTCTGTTTGCATGTTGTGTGATTTCTATAACACATATACACATACACATTAACACGCAGATACACACATGCTCACACTGACACATGCTCACACCTTGACACATACTGGCACATACACATACACACACTCAGATACACACCCTTTGACACACAGATACAAGCACTTTGATATACACACACTGGCACATACACACACACACACACACACACACGCACTGACACAGGTATATACACACACTCAGATACACACATACATAAAGGTATAAATGCAGGGGTGTATATGTGTACAGTGCTAGAGATGGAATGTAAGAGTGTATTTGTGTTGGCATTAAAATGCTGGGATGTATGCATTACCACACACTCAGATGCACACTTACACACACACTGAAACACACACACAGGTGCACATACAGGTGTATGAGGTATACATACACACAGAAACACTGACACACAGACAAACACAGCCAGATACACACAAGGACATAAACACAGTCAGATACACACATATATATGTGTACATTTACATATTTTAATCTCTGCCTTCTAGCAGCTCTTGGACAGCAACTCCCAGCAACCTTGGCCAATATAATGTCTCAACTCTGTTCTTACATACCCTGGTCCAGAATTTGGCAAAAGTGACATTTGAAAATGGTGTACAGCCTTTGATAACACTTGATGCAATAATATGTTAAAATAAATACTTTTTAAATTTATATTTAATAGGGAACTGTCAGGTTCTTCTAGGATTTTTAACATGTACTTATTCCCTGTGTGTTACATTACAAACACCAACACACTTAAATAAAAGTGATATCAGAAATTAGCAAAACAAAAAACAAAACATATTTAGCCACCCTCCTGTCTCCTTACCTTTTGGATACAGAAAGGTGGCTTCCCTGGTGTTCAGTGAGAGCTTGTTGGCCCAGGCTGATGGGAGTCTGCCATCAGCTTTCTCAGTCCCTCTCCCCCACAATGCTTGCATCCCCCTCCATGCGGTGTGTGCCTCCTCCCCAGCGGCACTGAGGAGGAACTGATCAGTTCTTACTGGGAGGAAGCAATCTGACCTCACTTCCTCCCAGCATGCCCAGGAAACAAAGAGACTCACAGGGCAGTATGTGAGGGGGCTAGCTGTGAGTATGTAGTCAGCCATCCCCCATATAACAGGGGCCCGGGCCGGTCCAGAGCAGTATTAAAGGGCTGTGGCCCCTGATTACCTCAGGTGCCGCAGGGGGCCCATGGGGCAGCTGCCTTAGGGCCCCCAGGAGTAACTGGGCCCGGGGCAGCTGCCCCTTTTGCCCCTCCATAAAGACGGCTCTGACTTAACCACAGAGATGCACACAACAATCACACACATAATCACAGACATACACAATCACAGACCCACACACATACAATCACAGTCACACAATCACATACACATATAATTAGATGTACATACACAATCATCACATACATACATACACTTATTTAACCCCTTAAGGACGGAGCCAAATGTACACATTGTGAACAAAACAAAATGTAAACAAAACCTGGCATTTGCGCTACATGTCTGTCCAACCGTAATACACCTCTTTCATAGTAAATGCACCCACCCTTATTATATATCATTTTATTCAGGGGAAACAGGGCTTTCATTTAATATCAAATATTTAGCTATGAAACATAATTTAATATGAAAAAAATGGGGGAAAATACGATTTTTTTGATTTTTTTAGTTCTAAATTGCATTTTAAAGGTCAGTGTCATAATACTGTTTGATTTTACTGCAATAAAATACACATATTTGTATTCAGTAAAGTCTCACGTGTAAGACAGTACCCCCTATGTACAGGTTTTATGGCGTTTTGGGAAGTTACAGGGTCAAATATAGCACATTACATTTGAAATTGAAATTCTTCAGATTGGTTACGTTGCCTTTGAGACTGTATAGTAGCCCGGGAATGAAATTTACACCCATAATGGCATACCATTTGCAATAGTAGACAACCCAAGGTATTGCAAATGGGGTATGTCCAGTCTTTTTTAGTAGCCATTTGGTCACAAACACTGGCCAAAGTTAGCGCTAGTATTTGTTTGTGTGTGAAAAATGCAAAAAACGCCAATTTTGGCCAGTGTTTGTGACTAAGTGGCTACTAAAAAAGACTGGACATACCCTGTTTGCAATACCTTGGGTTGTCTACTATTGCAAATGGTATGCCATCATAGGGGTAATTTTCATTCTTGGGCTACTATAGGGTCTCAAAGGCAACGTAACCAATCTGGCGAATTTTAATGTGAAAAAAATGAAACACAAGCTTTATATTTGACGCTGTAACTTTTGAAAACACCATAAAACCTGTACATGAGGGGTACTGTTGTACTCGGGAGACTTCGCTGAACACAAATATTTGTGTTTCAAAAAAGTTAAAAGTATCACAACAATAATATCGTCCGTGTAAGTGCTGTTTGTGCGTGAAAAATGCAAAAAACTTCACTTTTACTGGCGATATCATCGTTGTAATACATTCTACTGTTTTGAAACACTAATATTTGTATTCAGCGAAGTCCCCTGAGTAGAACAGTACCCCCCATGTACAGGTTTTATGGTGTCTTGGAAAGTTATAGGGTTAAATATAGTGCTAGCAAATTAAATTTCCTTTACTTTCGGCATGGGTTGTCAGGCAGGTCCCGCTAATTGTAATTAATTAAGATACCTAATTATGTAAAAATATTACATAAATATATATGTAGAATTAATATATGTATATATATACGTATGTGTATATATATGTATATATCTATATAATTTTTAAATATTTTTATTTATATATAGGTATATATATAGTGATATATACGTATATATTTATGTGTATAAATATATATATTATTTCGTTCTATGTGTATTTTGATATATATATATATTAATTTCACAATACAGTTAGAACGAAATAACACACATCTATATATTTTTAATTATTTATTTTTAATTATTTTTATAATTTTATTTTTTAACGTATTTACATTTTAATTTTTTTTATAATATATATAAATATATATATAACAATAATTATATATATATTTAATCAGTATCAGTCTACGTATAATTTGATATTAATATATATATATAATTATATATATATTAATAGTAAAATACACCTAGACGGTGTATGTGTGTGTATGTATATGTGTATATATATACTTAGATCATATATATATAATATATACATATGATCTAAGTATATATAATAATTTTTTTTTACACCATTAACTTATTTTTATTTTATTTTCAGCCAGCAGGGGGACCACCTGTCATTACAGGCAGCCCCCCTGCCGGCAATACAGAAGCCAGCTATACCCGGCCATATGATTGTGGGGTCCTCGCTAGGACCCCACTCTCACATGGCCGGGGGGCTTCAACGAGGATGGATGTGCCGCGGGGGGCTCCCTGGGAGTCCCCCCCACCGCGATCGCCGGCGTGGGACCGCCGGCGACCGGGTAAGTTAACAAAAACCGGAGGGCGTACAATTACGCCCGGCGGCGTTTAGAGCCGCCTATTAGAGGGCGTAATTGTACGTCCTCCGGTTTTAAGGGGTTAATAAGAGGTCCAGCCAACCTTCATACCTTGCTCTAGGAGGGCTGGTGGTCAGAAGCAGGTCTCTAATTAGGCGGTTTAGGCGGCCGCCTATGGCCTCGCAGCTGCCTAAACCGCCTTAGGGCAGATTGTGTCGGGTCCTCGGTCAGTGCAAGGCCCCTCCTGTCTGCCCGGCCACCAATCGCAGACAATGGTCTGCAGCTCCGCAGTCTGCAGAGCAGCAGACCATGTGTCTCGCGAGGACTAGCCAATCAGAGCGTTGCCGTGGTTTACCATGGCAACACTCTAATGGGTCTCGTGAGATACATGGTTTGCAGTTCTGCGGAGCTGCAGACCGGATATAATAGCCACTGGACCACCAGACAGCCCACACTGGACCACCATAGAATAAAAAAAGGCATTTAGTCCCCCACTCTCCCTCTCACCATCAGTCCCCCTCTCCCTCTCACCATCAGCCCCCAGACAGACACAATCACAGTTACACACACACACAGCACACACTCTCTCACTTACTGGTGGAGGAGTGGAGTCAGTGAAGTCCCTGGTCTGTAGGTGTTGGGGAAGCAGGGACTCCTTCCTGCTTCCCCTCTGTGTGCAGCAGTAGTAGCTGGTGGAGGCTGCCTTTAGCTCTGCCCCCGCTGACGATTTGCCTCTGCCCCAAACTCTCTGTGCAGTTCTCCTGTTCCCGGCCCTTGCGTTTGTGAGCTGTGTCCCTGGCCAGCCCTGGTGGCACCCCCTACTTAGTGGCACCCGGGGCGGACCGCCACCCCCAATCCCTCCCTTAGTACGCCACTGACTGCACCCCTCACATACATACACACACACACACACACTCTGCACCTCTCACATACAAACACACTGCACCCCACACACCCACTCTGCACCCCTCACATACCCACACACTGCAATTATCAACATCATCAATACCCGCTAACATCACACCAAAGAAAAGCAGTTCCAGCCATAACATTAGGAGTGAGTTAATTAAATGTTATACCAAATACAGCAGGCTAATTTTTAAGTTGATAATTTTTTATGGCCAGCGAATTATATTTTAAATATCCAAATGGCCCTTGGCCCATAAAAGGTTCTTCACCCCTGATCTACATGAATGTCGTTCAAGAGTTATATATAAAGTACCGAACAATTGGAGCATTCAACAAATAAAAGATTTCATATAACTTATGTGGTTTTCGTACAAAATCCCGCGAACGGAGTCCGGCCGGTCAAAACTTTCCCGCGATGGTGATTAATACTACCGAAATGATCTCAGTGATTTCAAGATATGATGGTCACTTTTGTCGGGTTTCCATTTTTTTTGGGGTGTCCCAAAATTGTTATACCTTCCTGTACCCAGAGATAATTGAGTTTGTACAGTTCCTGACTCAATTATCTCTCAGGCACAAGGGAAGAGTTTACTGACTGTATAAATTTAATGACTGTACTCCCATTACACATTTCTACTCCCAGTATTAAGCTTTGGCTCATGTGTGGGGGGCATATGCGATACTGGCGATATTTCACTCAGGATTATTGGTGCTGCTTTTATTTGGGGAAAAGGAAATCCGTGGCGGATATACCTTGGCGGATATACCTTGGCGGTTTCTTCCAGTCTCATTGGGTGACCTCTTGTCTGCTGTATATTCCTGCTAATGAACAGGTTAGCACATAGCGGTTTCTACTGACCCTGCATATATATGCATAGTGTTTTCATATCCCCTCTGAGGTACCTTATTTCTAGAGTAATCAATTCCTGTTTTTTTAGCTTTTCCTCATAACTAACATTTTCCCTTCCCCTTACTAGTTTTGTAGCTCGCCTCGGCACTTCTTCTAGAGCTGCAATTTCCTTCTTTAAAAATGGTGCACAAAGTTGCACCGCATATTTAAGGAGGAGGGGGGAGGGTGTCTGTGTATCTGTATGTCTATCAGTGTGTGTATGTATGTCTATCTGCATGCCTGCCTGTGTATCTGTATGTCTGGCAGTGTGTGTATGTATGTCTACCTGCATGCCTGCCTGTGTATCTGTATGTCTGGCAGTGTGTGTATGTATGTCTACCTGCATGCCTGCATATCTGTATGTCTGGCAGTGTGTGTATGTATGTCTACCTGCATGCCTGCCTGTGTATCTGTATGTCTGGCAGTGTGTGTATGTATGTCTACCTGCATGCCTGCCTGTGTATCTGTATGTCTGGCAGTGTGTGTATGTATGTCTACCTGCATGCCTGCCTGTGTATCTGTATGTCTATCAGTGTGTGTATGTATGTCTACCTGCATGCCTGCCTGTGTATCTGTATGTCTGGCAGTGTGTGTATGTATGTCTACCTGCATGCCTGCCTGTGTATCTGTATGTCTGGCAGTGTGTGTGGGTGTGTGTATCTGTAGGTCTGTCAGCATGTGTGTCTTGCAAAGAAGATGATGGACAACTTTGTCAAAGGCAGCAGAAAGATCCAGGGTGATGAGTACAGAGAAGTGTTGCTTAAGAACGCTCATTTCCTGGTTAGTACTGTAGTCAAGTAATGTGGTCAAATGCCAGACTGAATAAGGTCAAGTAAGGGAGTTAAAGGTGGAAAAATCAGAGTTTGGATGCAGTGTGAGGCAACATGCAAATGTATGTCAGAATTAATTAAGAATTATAGAAGAGGTACAAAAAATAGAGGATAAGTGTGACATGGAGCATCCGGTCTTTCAGGAATACAAAGTAGACACGCTGGTAAAGTCAAATACTAAATAATTAAAAGACAATACTAACAAACCTATGAGAATGTTTGAACACAAGATTGAAATTGAGTGCATCTAGTCACAGAGTATATAAAGAATGAACATCGGCTCACAGAGGTTATATAAAAAAAAAAAAAAAACTACAACACAAACAAATCTCATTAGATACTTCATTTGTTTTAAATAAGCCCCTTTCCTGCCAGAAAATAATAAAAAGATGCCCAGAAGCATCGATCAATCATAATTTGCAGCAGCTTCCCAATCTACGTTAACCTCCAGTGAACTTGTGTTTGTTACTTATCTTCTGGGTTTTTTTTTTCCAATTCCCTTGTGTCTTCTGCCGTTGTCCTCATATGCTATCTCAAAGAGAAATACGTTGTTTTACTTCATTGAATGGAATGTACAATTAAATCGCTCGGGCATGAAATGCCCAAAGTAAGGTTCAGAACAAAATAAATAAAATAAAAACAATTTAAAATGCATCTGTCAAACTCACATAGCCATAAACGTGATACAAAAATGGTGGGTCTTCAGCACTATTCCTGTTCCTGTCCAACAATCACCAAAGTACAGCAAACAGTCCATAGCTTTGTAAACAATACTTTCAGATTGAGATTTACCATGACTTCACAATAGACCATTCTTGGAGGTCTAAACCAGTGGGAATTTGGAGACCAACAATAGGGCCAAGGCTCAATTAAATGGTAGTTAGGTCACTTTGGTTATGCAGTCCAAACCACACCTTGTTTATACAGCACAGTGTGTTTACATTCTAATGTCTTATCTCCTGCTGGTCAATTAAACATTAATCACACATAGTAGGCGGCTGTGAGCTCAACACATCTAAATTAAACACACTGTGCAATAACATAAGTTAAGAAATATAGGTCTTTTTCAGGAAGTGTTTAGAGAGGCTGTATGAGTCACAGCCGGAGGAATGTGTGGCTAAGACTGCATAAAACAGGCTGCCATATATTTAGACTTGTGACTACGCTGATGTCTAAAGACCTATTTTAGGAAGTCTTAGAAATTGGGATACAAATGTAAAGAATGCATTTGTGGGCTTCATTACATGTAACAATCTCATTTTGCATTCTCTATCTCTTAGTATCACATTCCTAATTTTCTGTACTCTGTCTATAATAGGGGTCAGCAACCTATGATAGCACGTTTGCCTCAATTTATGCTTTTCTACCCCTGATACAAATAATAAAAGCAGCCCGCACACAAACACAAAACCACTGACAATCCACATATACAAACTCACAAGCAACCTCTCACTTTGCTGTACTATAAGCAGCCCCACACGTACACACACTCACCACCAAACATACTAAGTGAAATATCATACACACAGCTCCACAAACAGCCCCATACCCAGTCCACATTCATAGGTATCATACATAATACAACAAACTACTCATGAACATAGACAATATAATAGTCCACATATGCATACACACAATGCTACAAAACAACTGCAGCACCCATAAATAACAAAAACAGAATAAGGCAACATACACACCTCTATTTAATAAAATAAGACCAACACACCAAGGGACTTCAAGATGTCTGTGTGGTACAATACTACTGAAAGGTTGCCTACGCCTGATCTATAACATGTGGTTGCTTTGCTTATTTCACTGTTGAAGATATTTAAAAAAACAAACAAAAACAAAATAAAAAAAACAACAAGAACAGTTGGACTGTGGTCTTTTCCTCAATGGAAGAGAAAAATGGAGTTCAATTAACCCCTGTGTTGCAGGAATGTAGTGAATACAATACTTATATAGTACCCGGTCAATCAATCTCTTTCCATGCAAGCTTTAAGTTATATTTACTATGGGTTTTAGAACCTGGAAGACAAATTCAGCACACATGTATTATTCATCTGGAATTGGCAGGTGGTTAATTAAAAATCAAATGCAAATGGGAGAGTAGTTAAATCTCATTTGATTTTATCACATAATGTAATCTGCTTTACAGTCAATATAACACGATAAGCTGGAAAGGGCCACAAAAATTATATAGCTCTGTAAAAGAAAAACGACAAACTGAAAATGAACGAAGAAATATGTGACCGTGCGTTCAAAACAGGGTGAGTTGTGTATGCACTATATCAGATAGTTTATTTATGTGCATTACATTCTAAATCTTAGCTTGTAAGGCCAATGTAGGGGTCAATGAATTTTTAAACCAATTGGCTGCACTGGATTTTTTTTCTCTCTTACTACGATTAATACAAGAAGGAGAGAGTAGAAACACTCACGGGTTGGGTGAAATGGGCTTTTGAAAAACCCAAGATGCAACTGTATGTCAAAATGCACTGTTTGTCGGCTATGCCACCAGATGGGATAAGACGTGCCTTTCAGTCTACAACAGTGCCAGCTGAGGTCCATAGCCATTTCCAGCATGTGCATTGAAAGAATTAGTGTGGCATACCAACTACGTAACATTTTAAATCACTGCTCCCGTAACCTAACCAAGTTAGAAACATTGGCTAAAGCCTACAGACCTCATCCCAATTATCCCCTTACATATTGTCCTCTTTAGATCTTATTTCCACTTGGAAAAGTAACTCAGGGCCTATGAATTGGGGAGGGAACTAAGTCAACAATACAATGTAGGTATGACATGTAGGAGTCTGGGAGACTGCTAGCCAAACAAACAATCTTATTTTTTTTAAAAAGGCACTTTTAGTTTATGTAAGGAGGCAAAACCTCAGTTACCACAATAATTTTATGGGTTTAAGTGCCACTGTTTGTGTCCAGAAGTCAAATCTTACAAATCAAGTTTCATGAAAGAAATGTAGATATTTGCTTCATTCCAGCATCTTCAATCCTAGTAAAAGTCACAGGCGTAGACCTATGGGAAATCCTCTATTTCTAAATATAGGTGGTAATAACGAATTTAAAGATGAATGCGTATAATTAAGTTAAAATTAGGTCCAAATCCTAAGGGTATTCAAGTTAGCTGAACACGTTGGACCCTGCAAAGGGCACTGATGTTTATGCAGTGAACAATTGAAAACGATCTGGCCATCAGTTTATTGAGCGACTTTACATTTTGGTTGATGAAAATGTGTCTCAAAACTCTGCACAGTGGCACGGACATATGAATTCATCTTTTTGTAATTGCTTAAAATCGTCCGAGACTAAAGAGATAGGAGGTGCTTGGAATAAATACAAGAGTCAGAAAGGAGTATACTCTTTCTGCCCAAGAGATAGGATCCTCATTCCATCTGAATGATCATCTTTGATCAAAGAGGGCTAACATGTCTGCTTCCAGAGAGGAAAGGCATGTCAAGAGATGTATCCAAATAGTTATTAGATTTCCATTTAAATTAATTACAAAGTAGTTCACAATGATAAATTACATGCGATCTTTTATTTTCAGTAATCGTTAAAAAAAAAAAAAGTGATGAAATGAAGTGTAAGCATTCAGGGGGTATCAATTGGGAAACAATGGAAGGGGATCCTGAAAACAATGGAAGGGGATATCAGCTGAGGTGCAGCAGAGGAAATAAAATATTAATTTGAGCACAGAGAAAAGTTCCTTTTTATGTTTGAAAGACTACATGAAGTGTTTTGTGAGGGCATTGTTTTCAGGATATAGAGTTTTGGTGGGCAAAGCAGCACAATGTCTTTGCCAGCTAATCTTTTGAAATAGTTACCAATTGTTTAATGTCTACTTATTTTAGTGCTTAATAAAAATAAATAAAAAATAAATGAATTATTTAAAGTCAGTTTGTTCTCTTTATTCAGAGTATTAGAATGTGCCTCCCAATGAGCTCTGATTCTTTTCAATAAATGCTTAAATATTACATAGTGTAGTTTTAGTTTAATAAACATCACAGTTGTACTCAGAGGCCTTGTTTAATTAAATCTGAAGACGGGCCAGTAAGAATCCGGGGTGAGAGTAAACTTGATGAATACTTGGATGACAAAGTCGTAAATTCAATAATGGAAACATCATTATAATGTCAGTGTAAAGGTGATCTAAATGAAACACTTTAAACGGTTTATAGAAAAATCTGTTTGCTGTCGCCCGCCCAAATACTATACTGGGATATCAATCAAGACCTGCTATGAATGGTTAATTATCCCTCTTGACTCCTTAAGAACAGAGGAAATTGTACTCGGCAAGATCTCCGCAAACAAATCCAAAACTAAACCTAGAATTTGAGCTTTATGTCTGGTCAACCATAATTTACCTCTTTCATATTAAGTGCACCCACACTTATTATATATCAGTTTGTTCAGAAGAAATAGGTCTTTCATTTCACATCAAATATTTATATGTGGAATATAAATTAAAATGAATAAATGTTCTGCATGGCATTTTAACAGTGAATGTCAAATCTTTTCTAATGAGATTTGTTTTTAATGAGATCTTGTCTAATTAGACCTTTTTCTATGCAAATCTTTCCTGAAGGATGTTTTCCTTAAATATTTGTATCGCTTGTAAAAAAAAAAAATAATGTTTCGTTTTCTTTGAAGCATATAGATTTTTTTTGTTACACCTCTTATGCTTTGTATGGAGATATACAGTACTTTGAATGACTAAATATTACTAAATATTCCATTGTTGCACCAAGTTTATGGTATGTACTATTGGGAGATAAATATAAAAGAAACACATTAAAACCAATGTGGCTTAGTAGAGAAGTAAAACAAGAGATTAAAAATAAGAAAAGGGCATTTAAAGCATTTAAATCGGAAAATCAGATGCATCTTATAAAAGATATAAGGAATCAAATAATGCGTGCAAAAAGGCAATTAGACTTGCTAAACTTCAAAATGAAAAAATGATAGCTAAAGAGAGCAAAACCAACCCCAAAGCATTTTTTAAGTACATAAATTTTAAAAAAAACAAAAATCAAAGTGTAGGTACACTAAAAACTGAAACGGGGGTGTTAGTTAATGAAGACCAGGAAAAGGCAGGAATTTTAAACAACTGGAAGGATATATCCATATATATTAAGGAAGAACCCTTGGCAATAGATGTGCAAATGATTGCTACTGAAAACTTGCAGAATAATTGTAATTGGTTAACTCAAGACAAGGTGCTGCAGGAACTAAAGAAAGTTAATATAAACAAAGCTCCAGGGCCTGACAGTATCCATCCATGAGTACTTAAGGAACTAAGGGTAGAAATAAGTGAACTTCTGTTTTTAATCTTTCAAGATTCTTTTCTTTCAGGAAGTGTTCCGGAGGATTGGAGGGAGGCAGATGTGGTTCCTATATTCAAAAAGGGTTCAAAATCCTTGCCTGGAAATTATAGACCTGTGAGCTTAACTTCTGTGGCTGGGAAAATATTTGAAAGGTTATTAAGGGATAATGTTTGAGAATTCCTTGAGAAGAACATGGTTATCAGCAAAAATCAGCACAGTTTTCTGAAGCATAGGTCATGTCAAACTAACTTGATTGCGTTGTATGAAGAAGTAAGTAGAAGTATAGATCAGGGTGTTACAGTGGATGTGATCTATTTGGATTTTGCCAAGGCATTTGATACAGTTCCACACAATAGATTAGTGTTCAAACTCAAGGAAATCGGTCTAGATGAAAATGCTTGTTCTTGGGTAGAACATTGGCTTAAAAACAGAGTACAAAGAGTTGCCATTAATGGTAAATTTTCAAGCTGGACAGAGGTGGCAAGTGGTGTCCCTCAGGGGTCTGTTCTTGGACCCTTTCTATTTAATATGTTTATAAATGATCTTGAAGACAGCATTGAAAGTCATGTTTTAGTGTTTGCAGATGACACAAAACTTTGTAAAATAATACAATGTGAGCAAGATATTACTTTGTTGCAGAGGGATTTAGATAGACTGGGGGACTGGGCACTCAAATGGCAGATGAAATTTAATGTTGAAAAATGCTAAGTTATGCACTTCGGCGTAAAGAATACACAAGCAACGTATACCCTTAATGGAAGCGAATTAGGGATAACAACACATGAAAAGGACTTGGGAATTGTTATAGACAACAAACTATGCAACAATGTGCAATGTCAATCAGCAGTGGCCAAGGCCAGTAAGGTATTGTCATGCATGAAAAAGGGCATTCATTCTCGGGACGAGAATATCATTTTGCCTCTTTATAAATCACTGGTAAGACCACATATTGAATATGCTGTGAACTTTTGGGCACCTGTTCTAAAGAAGGATATTATGGCACTAGAAAAAGTGCAGAGGCGGGCTACAAAATTAATAAAAGGAATGTAACATATCAGCTTTAAAGAAAGGTTAACAAATTTAAACCTATTTAGTTTAGAAAAACGTCGCCCGAGAGGGGATATGATAACATTATACAAATATATTCGAGGCCAATACAAACCATTGTGTGGAAATCTATTCAGAAACCGGACTTTACATAGGACACAAGGCCATGCCTTTAGACTGGAAGAAAGAAGATTTCGTCTAAGGCAAAGGAAAGGTTTTTTTATTGTAAAAACAATCAGGATGTGGAATTCTCTGTCTGAAGAAGTGGTTTTATCAGAGTCCATACAGATGTTCAAACAGCTACTAGATGCATACTTGCAAAAACAGAATATTCAAGGATATAATCTTTCAATGTAGGGTAATAACTGCTTGATCCAATGATAAATCTAACTGCCATTCTTTTTCAAGAAGGAATTTTTTTCCTAGTTTGCTGCAAAATTGTGCTTCAAACTGGGTTTTTTTGCCTTCTTTTGGATCAACAGCAAAAAACAAATGTGAGGAAGCCCCAAGTCTCTTTTCAGCTATGTAACTATGTATTTCCCAAAGACTGTGATTCTTTATGTTTCTCATATGTTTAATATATGTTTTTTTCAACACGTTATTG